CAAAGAGATATAGCTAAAAAACTGATAGCTAAATTGCAATGGAGTTTGAAAATATTTAAATAATTCCAAAGAAGGCAGGAAAGAGGGAATAGAGGCACCAGTAACAGAGAGAACCCAGTAAAAAATAATAAAATGGTAGACAAAAGTGCAACCATATTCATAATTATGTGAAATATTTATTTTCGTGAAGTATAATTTTTAAATCTTTGCTCTTATGGATAAGTCTATTTGTCATGTTTCTCTAAGTGGTGTAGCTCTGACTCATGTTTAGGAATCACTCCGAGGCCCATTTTTACAGCCATTGTGCTGCCTCCCAGTGTCTGTGCTCCAGGAGATCCATGCTCTCGATCTTGGGCAGAGAGACCTGACTGCACAGGAAGTTCGCAAAAACAGTAACCGCAGGCTTCCGCATAAGATAAGAAATCCCAAGAGCCCTGGAAGGCCTAAAGAAGCTAATAACACAAAGGGCTGCTTTTGTCCTTGTGGACGACTTAATACCCCATAGCCAAGGAATGATATAAAGTTCTGTAACCAGGACACAGGTGTTGACAGTGTGGATTTTCTCCTTAGGATTCGGCAGAAAAACAGCTAGATATAGAACCATCATTGACCCAGCGGCAACACCAGCCTTTTTCTAATTATTGCTTCTGGAGATATCCAGGCAGTTTAGCTCAAGTTAAATTAGAACAGCAAGATTCTTTCAGAGCATGGAGTATCCACTGATTGATTTTTGGTCTGAATGCAACTTCATCAATGAACCCCCCATGTACATAGAGATTCCCTGCTACTTCTTGGCCTTCTTCCCCCATCCTCATACTACCTCTTGTTACACCTTTAGGACATCTACTCATAAGTCCATTGTGTTAAACTAATCAGGAGCTTCTGCTTTCCCTTTTACCCCAAATCCCCCAGTGTTCCTGGATCTTGTTTCTGTGGTAACAAGTAGCATTTGCTTCCCTTTGACTTTTATTTTATTTCCTTTCCTATAACGTACCCTGAAACACTCTGAAATGTGTTTTACCTCCCTCCTAAGTCCCATACGCCCTTCACAGGGTCAAAAAAGACCTCCAAGTTGCTAAACACAGTGGAAAATTTTGGGTTAGATATTGATGTTTATTTGGGGTCTGCCTTAGATTTTCTGTTTTTGTCAGTGTACATAATTTTCAAATAGGGCTACCCCATTAGCTGCAAATGCCAGCTGTATGTTGGTGTCTCACATCTCTATGTCCATTCTTCATCTCTTCTTCAACCTTGAGGCAAGTCCATTAAAACATCTATTGGGCATGTCCACTTAAATAAGCCCCCCTCCAAAGAACTTATACTCATCATGCCAAAATGTAATTGCCATCTTCTCACCTAACACTTCAAACCAGCTTCTCTTCCTCCCATTCTCTGTCTCCGTGAGTTGCAAATACTCAATTGCAACTGTGCAATGGTCAGAAACCAGAAAATCTTCCTTGATTCCTTTGTCTCTCTCATTGACACCTCTGCTCAGTCACTAAGCCCTATCTATTCTCTCGCTCTCGTTTGCACTCTTGCTCTCTCACATTCTTGCTCTCTGGCAATACCTCTGTCGGAAACCACCTATTGTCTTCACCAGCAGAGAGGTGTGGACAAGGAACCCGGAAGGCTGGTGACCCTTGAGCCCTGGCAAAGGTCAGAGCTATGTGCCCACTGTTTAGTTGAGACAATGGTCGCTGAAGCAACTTCCCCACCAGAGAGTCATGTAAATCCTTATTGATAAGATTGTCTGTTACTGTAACTTGCCTGCCTAAGGGCTATGGGTGTGTCCCAAACTGAATAAAAGGATGGCAAGGCCTGAGCACAAGTGGAGTCCTTCCTCTTGTGTTGGGCTTCTGCCTGGCCCCCAATTACCAAATTATTATTTCTTGTCTCATCTCTGTCATTTGCGTGGGGCCCCTCATCCAGAGCCCGAGCCCTGAACCACATGGGATGTGGGTCATCACACCCTCTCTCTCTATCTGCTCAGCCAACATCATAGTCCAAGCCACTATCATCACAATACCATCATAGCTCCTTACCTTTACTTTTGCTCCCACCTAAATCATTCTTCACATTGCTACCAAAGTTATCTTGGTAAAATTTAAAGCATTAAACCTTTCAGTGGTTTCCCATTGCATTAGGGGATATTCAAAACTCTTTAATTGAGGCAAGTCCATTAAACACTTAGAATCAGGGTAGTCTGAGATTGCCTGGGTTTACATCCAGGCAAGTGATCTTGAGCTATTGGGTTAGCCTTGCTGAGCTTCTGTTTTCATATCTGTAAAATGATAATAGTAGTAGTAGTAACAATAATAATAATAATAAATGCCTCAGTGTAGTTGTATTTAATAAAATTGTAATGACAACAGCACTTTAGAATGCTTTCTGTCTCATAATTAAATAAATCACTGTTATCTTTGTTTTTATTGTTATTATTCAACAATTTTTTTTTAACAAGACAGGAACCGTGGTAGATAATGACAATACTATTTTGAACAAAATAGGCAAGGTTACTGCCCTCTGGGGAACTGATTTAAAATTTAGTCACATTTTTTACCTCGCACAAACTTACACTCTAAATTGTACTATTGTAGTCCCATTACATGCTAAATTTTCATGCTTTTTCCCCCTTCCTCTGGGCATTTAATTACACTCTCCCTGTTTCAGAAAATATTATCTTCAAGTCCTCCTTCACTGTTTAACTCTTCATCTTTCAGATCTCAGTTTAAATATCACTTCTGAGATTTCTATAACTGAGTTAGGTCCCCCTTATTCCAGCGGTTCTCAACCTGTGGGTCACAACCCCTTTGGCGGTCGAATGACCCTTTCACAGGGGTTGCCTAAGACCATCCTGCATATCAGATATTTACATTATAATTCATAACAGTAGCAACATTACAGCTATGAAGTAGCAACGAAAATAATTTTATGGTTGGGTCACAACATGAGGAACTGTATTTAAAGGGCCAGAAAGTTGAGAACCACTATTAGACCATTTGTATTTTATCTATTTACATATGTTTACCTCAATTCATTCAAAACACTGAAAGATGAGGGAGTCTCTAGGTCTTGTTTACTACTGTTTCCCCAATGTTAAGCATAATGTCTGATAACATATAGACATTAAATAAATGTTTGTGGAAGGAAGGAAGTAAATAAATAGAGGCCACAAGGATTCTTATGCCATATTTGCAATTGAGGGGGGAGAGGGAGCACGCAGGAATGGGTGTTCTTATCAGTAAACTGATGGTCACATTTGTAAGTTACATTCCATAAACTAATATGTCTCCAGCATTTCAGTCATCATCTGGAACATTTGTACACTTGGAAGAGAGAGTGGTAATATGTGCAGAAGACATCTTAGCAGCTATTACTTGAACTTGCATACTTACTGTCATTCTGCTTTATAATAATAGAAAGACTATTTTGAATAAAGACTCATGAGTAATTAATGCTGGTTGAATTGTTGGAAAATAGCTACTCATGTAGTCTGAGAGTTGGCATCACACCCTAAAGTAGCTGTACTCCATCTTGTTGAAGAAATGCTTGCATGGCTCTGCGCACCATTGTAAGAGAGAGTAATAGACTCAGAAGAATTTCAGAAATTATTAGAGACTGTGGGCTGTCTGAGCAATCAGTTGGCCATAGAGAGAAGCGTACTAGGCCAGCAGTGACAGGGCTGCCAGAATTGACAAGCATTCTTAGCCAAGTTCTGTCCTCATCAAGTTTCCTAGCTGTAAAAATACTTCAGTGTTTTGAAATATGCACTCACATATGGCAATCACTTCTGACTGTAATATAGTCCTGGACAGCATTACAACTGAATCATGTTATGGTCCCAAACCTCTTTCTTCCAGAAAAAAATCTTTCCTAGAAGATGAATATGGAAAATAGCAAAACAAATAAACACACACACACACACACACACACACACACACACACACACACAAGAGTTGCTCTCCTTAGTTCCCTTTACACCTCAATCTAATGACCCCTGAGGGTAGAGTAGAAAGATCACTGTACTGGTTATCAGAAGACAGATTCATGGACTCCCAGGACAGAAATGAAACATAAAATACTTCCATCCAACCAGACACCCTTAGTTGAATTCCCTTCTACAACAAGAACCCTCCAGGCTTTTTCCCCAATAGCCTTTCTGCTCTCGGACAAGTAATTTACCCTCAATATACTTCAGTTCCTCCATCTGTAAAAAGAGGGGTTATACACTCCAGGGTCTTTTTATAGCATAAAAATGTGATTCAATAATACTAAGAACATATAGAAATCTGGCCCAGAAAGCAGATCATGAAACCTGTTTAGTTGTTTGGTATTTCATACAACAAGTAGTCTAAAAAAATAATAATAATAAGATCTGGGGCATTCTATAGGACTATATACCAGGGATTCTAAAACAGTGATGGCGAACCTATAACAAATATAAGTCTTTATTTTATATGGTTGCAAATATAAAAAAATTTCTATATGTGACACGTCACCAGGGTTAAGTTAGGGTTTTTCAAAAACGCTGACACGCCGAGCTCAAAAGGTTCACCATCACTGTTCTAAAACCTCTCTGAATTTTATGCAAAAGTAACGTATTCTTGCAGTAGAGCCCATAAGTTGTTGGGGTTTGGGGGGGGGGGGTCCTGCTTTTTTTGTTGTTTTATTTTGCATTTATTTATTGCAATATTTTGCATTTAAAATGGAGATCCAAATGGTGCTTGAGAAGTACAACATATTCCAAAGTTTATTTGCTATATAAGGATTTTTGAAATTTTATTTTAGTGTGGTAAGAACACTTAACAAGACATCTAACCTCTTAACAGATTTTTAAGTGTACAATGAAACTTATTAATTAAAGGACTGGCGTGAAATACCACTAAGTGGCACATCAGTGACTACTTTCCCCATGGGCCTGCTACTTTACTAAAGCAGAGATGAAAGGCTTAATATTGTCCTAACATAAGTGATGATTTAGACTCTATTCTTTTCTCCCAGCCATTTTCAGAGTTCTTGTGAGAATACCTAGACCTGAAATGTGGAATCAAAATTTGCCTGGAATTCTCACTTGGTATGTTTATTTATTGTAGTAAAAATCATTTATATGCACTTCAGGATTGAGCAAGTAAGTGGATGTGTTGATGTTGTATGGAGTTCTTATCATGAAAGAAGGGAAATAAAGTTAAGGATTGGAGTATCAATATGATGCCTGAGCAATAATATCACATTAGCAATGAACATATTTAGTGTCTAGATCTTGGTTTCTAAAAACCATTCCCCATTAAAAGGAATGATTACTTCCTACAGAAATGGCTGATGCCAGGGCTAGGGGAGGAAAGATACAACATGAGCCTGGAGTATCTTGTTTTAAAGTAAGGACGTTATAAAATAACAACAATGGGCAAGGTTTTGAAACAAGAAACTAGAAAGGAACTTCCACCTATGAGCAAATCTGAAACAATTTGAGCATCAAAATAAATAAGGGAAATAATAAATTATAACCCATTGAATAAAAAAGAATCTGTTAGTCCATAGTGATAACAGAGCCATCCAAACAGACAGAGAAAGACAGAGAGGACAACAGTCAGATAGAATGCCAACTAATAAATATGGAGAGAATGATAGATTTAGAATAGTACCATTTTGTAACCATCACAGTATAGATTGGTTAAGGCAAGAATCATCAACTTGTACTAAATGTGTGGTAGGGGGATGGGTGAGAATATCTGGATGAGGATATTTGCATGGACTTAAAATATCTTCCCAGTTTCCTAATTAATTGCAAGAAGTAGTAACTATACAGTGGAGAAAACAGATGATACATTGACTAGTTGATCAAAATTAACCTCACCAGTGAAGAGCAGATGAGAAATGGGTGCTTTGGATGTGTTTCCCTGAAACAGATTCAATATCACCCATGTAGCTTACAAAGAGGTCTCACTTGAATCTAATCATAAGGAAACATCAGAGAAACTTAAATTGAAGGGCATTGTATAAAAACGGACCCGCATTCTTTAAAAAGAAATGCCAGTATCATGAAAACAAAGTAAGGCTCAGGAACTGTTCCAGATTAAAGACTAAAGAGACCTGACAACTAAATGTAATACACAAGACTGGACTAACGTCTGTGTAAGAGGGCAAATGCTGTAAATGGACATAAATGAGCCAACAGACAAAAGTAGAATATGGACCATAGGTTTTAGAGAAAAGATTTTATCAATATTAAATTTCCTGAATTTGATAACTGCACTGTGCTTCTGTAAAAGAATTTGCTGTTTTTAGGAAAGACACACAGAATAGTGAAGGGCTTGTGAGGCATATTCTCAAATAGTTCAGAAAAAATGTTTAAATAAATGTGTGTGTGTGTGTGTGTGTGTATAAAGATACATATATAGCTAGAAAGACAGAGACAGATAATAATAAAACAAATGTGGCAAATCATTAAATATTAGTGAAGGATGAAACTGGGTAAAGAGCAATCAGAAGTCTTCTTACATTGTCCTTGCAACTTTCCTGTAAGTTCGACATTATTTCAAAACACAAACTTTTTTTGACTGGTGCTGATAGTCAACCTAATTTCAAATGATAAATAGAATATCTTTAAAACTTTCTTGCCCTGGAAAATCATTTACTGGGAAATGCTTTTTACTCAAATGTGTTCATTTTCTTTGCAGTGAAAAGAATGATGATGTGAAATATATGGAACACTGAAAACATAGCAACCCACTTTGAAGCAACCTTTAAAAGCTAAGGTAAAAATTCCTACTCAGTCAAAGGATGTAAACCACAGCATGTTTTTCCTGCATGTATACAGACACACACACACACACACACACACACACACACACACACACACACAATTTGTATATCATGTTAACTTATTTTCCTCAGTTAAAATCACGGCTAACCTCTATTAACACTGTCCGTGTAGTTAAGAGCAAGCATAGCAGTGGACTGGTCACATAAATCTAACTCCCTAACTTCAGCTTTCCCGTGAAGATGATGGAGGTGATGGGTTCGGGAGCATATAGGCTCTGTGCAGATACACCTGGTAGTAAGTGTTGGACTTATTCCTGTACTTGTCTTTCTAATTAATCTGACCATCCTTTAGGGTGGAGCTTGTCTATAAGATTACATATTCCTGAAAGGAATTTGACCAACTGCTTTCAAGAGTAGTAAATTCTTACCAATCAGTTTCAAGAAATCCTAGCTTGCGCATATTAGGGCCATTTTGCTTCTGTGTCTGAAATTCTCCAAGTAATCATGGTATTGTTCCAGAGAGTGACAACATAGGGAACAAATCTCATTTACCCTGCAGATCTTTCCTTTGTACTGTTGAGACCTATCTCTTTCACTTACTGACAAATACATTTTTTCCCTTCCTATTAGCTCCACTGAACCCATCTTCCTATGAGAGTGTGAAACTGAATTGTATTTCGCCTTGAGCAGCAACAATTTCATCAGTTAGATTATGACTGCTGAATCTTTATTCCCGGGATATGGCAAGATAGGGCGACAGCTTCCAGGCTGCTGACTAGCTATTTTCGGACTTGTAGATTTGTAGCACAACTGACTTATAAATCAATGCTTGTGTAAATATATCTGATACCGAAACAAAAAAATCTATCATTTTATCTACTGAGTCTTGTTCTCATTAAAATCATAATGTTCTCTAATTTTTTATCTTCTCTTCACATTTTATGCCATTTATGAAACAAGCAGGATTAACTACCAAAGAGAAAATGAAATGTAATTGGTAAACATAAGATATACACAGCACCTTACGCATCTGAAATGCCTCTAAAAATATTTTTTGCATCTTCAATCTTTTAGTAAATTTTCCACCAAAATCTTTGTTCACAGTAGTTTTCTTTAGTGTATCTTCAGAGTTTTATGACTAGGAATATTAAGTAGAAAGCTGAGAAAATTAGGGCTGTGGTTCTAATTCCTAACAACAGTGTTTAAAGTCAGTCATCTGTAAAATGGGACTAAGTATACACAGGATAATATGCAAAAATTCATGAGCATGTGCAATGTGATATGAATTCACAATGATAAGAAATGTGACCTCTACGTTTCTTGACTAGAAGTAAAACTGCTAGAGTCAGAAAGCACAAGGTCCAGCCTGAATTAACTAGTAGATAGCAAAGTGATCCTCCTCAAAAGCACCAAAGCTATTGCAGGGCACTTTAACTGCCTGGTATGAGCATTAGAAGGTGCATTAGTGTTCTGCTGCTGTAACAAATTACCCCAAACTTAGTAGCTTGTGCTAATACACATGCTAATATTATATTTGTTGTAACACACAACCAATAACAAGTTCTGTTAGAATCATAAAAGAGGTACAGTCCATGATCCAAATAAAAGACAAATTTTGTAAAGCCTAGAAGCTTGTGATCTAATAGATAACACAAAGAAGCTAGATATTGGCTATTTCTATACACATAAAGACAAAACTTACAGAACCACATCAGTTGTAAGTTTGGACAGAACTAATTAACTGAGATTCTGTCCCACAGCAGCAAAGACATGGAAAAATCTGTCCCTTTCGCTGAGCAGAACAATAGCTGATCAGTTTGACTGAAAGTTGAGGTCAGAATAGTTTAGAAAGGAGACTGCGACCACAGGTGGGAAAAAACTCTGTAAAAGAAACATCTACATTCACAATCTCAATTTCATGGTTTGTGGGAAGAACCTGGGGTATGTGAATATATATTAATACCGTCCCCACCCACTATGAGGTCTGGGGCATACTTCAGTCTGCACTCCCTTCTGATCTGATCGATCAGAATGATGGATTCAGACCAGAGACCATTACCAAATGAGTACGTGAGGAAAAGGAAAATCTCAGAGTTCCTCTCCCTGAACCATCCGTATGCCTGGCCTGGCCACTCAGTTCTCATACTTCCCATTGAGGTTTTGTCTACACTCTTCTTGCCAAGGGGTCCCAGGGCCTCTAGGAGCCATCAAATCAGCTCTCGCACTCGAGTTGAGCAAGTTGTTCCATACCCGCCAGGAAGTAGCAGAGAATTGCTTGCCACGATGATGCAGCACTAAAGGGTCAAGGGACTTCATATGTGAGTTACAACAAGGAATGTGCTAGGGTGGAAGCTTGATTCATGCCCAAGTTGTTAATAGAATGCTAAGGTCGTTTCACATGGGAAGAAGACAAAAACCTCAAACATTTTGTTTCATGCAAGGTTGTTTCCAGAAGTGCCTATTCTGCTGGCTCCATTCAGACACACTGAAGGCTTGGTCTGCACTGCTGTGATTAATGAACATTGTATTTTGCTTACAGCAAAAATTGTGAGCAGGGCACAGTGGTCACTCTTCAGATGTTAGAAATACCGTGCAGAGGTGTTCATCCGAACTCGATGGAAAAGGCAGGTGTCTGTTGAATTATACTGATGGAAATAACTGGTCAATTCAGTCCAACAACTCGTCAGTGACTACTCCATTCCAGGTGAGTAAAGCCTCAGTTCTCTTTAACAATCTGTGTTTGAAAGGCAACTTTTCTCCTCAGGATATATTTCTATGTATTTTTGCTAATATGTAGTGTTTCTAATATACTCTGTATACTCTTGACAGTTGTTGATAGTCTACACTTTATAAACTCTTCATAAAAATATATTAGGTTGTTCCATTGACTCCTAAATAACAGAAGTAGAGAAGGTAACCTATTCTTTTACTCTGCTATTTCCTCCACTATCATTTCTACTATTGTCTAGAATGTAATATAAGCTGGAAAAGACTGAAATAATTTTGAAGTCACAGGTGACTCTCTGGCCCTTTCAAAACATATTAAAGTTCTCAATAACTAAAATAAAAATGTGGATCAAAATGTCAGAAATGTAACCTAAAGCACATCCATACATGTCTCAAATGTCACCATCCCCCACAGGATTCGTAGGTTGCAATTTCTTAGTAATTTTTCAATATATATGGCAAATAAACCAGAGTACTCCCTATTCAAAACACTCATCTTAAAAAGTAAGGATAGGCCATGGCTTGAGCAGTAAACAGTAAAACATTATTTATTAGCTGCTTTCTACTATAAGGAAAAAAATTACAGCACAGAAATGTCTAAGAAAACTGTTCAAGGCAAGAAAGCCAGGCCTGAATGAAGTCAGAACCACTTTTCCATTGCTAGTTTGGCTTCAACAGCCAGTTAGAAAGATGAACCCTTTTTCCAGAATATGAGTAGCACTGGGTTTAGCCATATCATCTTCTGATGTCATGTAATAGAATAATGGAATATGTACTGTTAGACAAGATATATGACAGCATGGAAGTTACATCAAGCGTTTACTCAAGAAAAACTGGTGTGCCTGGCCAGTGTGGCTCAGTTGGTTGAGCATCATCCAAACACCAGGAGGTCACTGGTTCGATTCTTAGTCAGGGCACATGCCTGGGTTGCTTGCTCCTCAGTAGGGGGCATGCAGAAGGCAATTGATGTTCTCTCTCGAAGTTTCTATCTATCTCTCCCCCTCACTTCCTCTCTCTGAAATCAATAAAAACATATTTTTTTAAAAGAAAGAAAGAAAAACTGGTATGAGAGAAGACAATTTATATAAAAAAAATGCTTCAGAAATAGGAACATCAATTTGAATGTTACAGAAACCAAAAGTTTTATCCCTAGACAAAAAGTTACTATGATAATAAAATATTTCTTTGACTCCTCCCAGGACTCAGACAATGAACCACTGGTGTGTAAAAGTTCCAAGAAGAAATGTGCACATCTGAATGACTGCACAGCCTCTCCTTCAGTTCCGCTGTTAACACTGAAAGTAGACTTATGAGGACAGAGAAAATAGACTGAGCACAGCTACAGTGGATGGATTCATGGGGAAGCACTGGAGGAGTAATGTGGGGCTGAGGGAGAGCTGGCTGTGTATTTCCTAAAGGGACCTAGGAGTTGGCCATGTGGAATTGGCAAGAAGTTGCTTCATTTTGTGACAAATAATTCTTCTCTGATTGAACACATTTAATATCTTTGAATGAATGACAGCCTTATATATTGAAAACTATATATTTTTTAAAAAAATATTGATTTCAGAGAAGAAGGGAGAAGGAGAGAGAGATAAAAACATCAATGATGAGAGAAAATCATTTATCAGCTGCCTCCTGCATGCCCCACAATGGAGATAGAGCCCACAACCCGGCATGTGCCCTTGACTGGAATCAAACCCAGGACCCTTCAGTCTGCAGGCCAACACTCTATCCACTGAGCCAAACCAGCTAGCACTCAATTTTATTTTTTTTTAAAGAATGATAGTTCTCTGTCATACTCCAAAAACAAATGCATGTTAGTCATTCAATAAAGATCATACAATGCTCATGAAATTCCAAGGCAAACCAACAATCCTGTCAAGAATAAACAGAAAGGTGAAATGCCAAGCTTCTCTACAATTCTTTTTTTCCCAAGGGCTAGAAGTGTTGGCAGACATGTGTATGCGGAACCCTGATAACAAGCAAATGAACAGGTTTAATTTCTGGGCCAGATGTGCTATATGGAAGAGTCATGTCCAGGGGAAGCCACATAACATGTCAGTACAAACGAGGCTGGTATCCATCAACTATTAGATTCACTAGCTTCTACGAAATACATTAACATCCAATTAAGTGACATTCTAAAAGGCAAAAGAACAAGATAATTCTGTTTTGTGAGCCACTTCTGTTAGAAAGTGTATTTCATGGAAAGCAAAATTATCAAGTTAGGAGAGATTTATAGAGATACTTCAGAGAAAGTTGCTCAATTTATAAATGGGTAAACTGGGACCCAGGTAAGGGAAGTGATTTCCTCTAGGAAGGTACATAGAAGCAAAGACCT